AGATCACTTTGGAGTCCTGGCATGGAAAGCCCCAAGCACTCTGAAATCTAACGCAAAGGGTATTCCCAGTAGTAACTTTTTTCTGGCTTTACTTTCTACTATCATTGTTGTTAGGCTTCAGAAAATAAGACACAGACCAGTCCAAAGTCGGACTCCAAATAAAGTTGCTTCTTTTATAAATACTTGAATTACAAGTGATCCTCACTCCAGGTAATTTCAGTGACACAGTACCTCTAGGCACACAAGTTCACACGCACATGCACACGCGCACACACACACAGCTCCCCAACTTTCACAGAAAGTCTGATGGCAACCACGTAATTATAAAGGAGCCCTACCTCTCAAGAGTGAAGTAAGGGTGAGAATGACCATATCATTTCAGCCTAATGAAGCCAAAGAGGGAAGAGTATGTATGCCTCACTTAAGAAAAAATACAAACAAGATTTGCAACAATGTTTGGCTGAGATGTTAGAAAGAAAAAAATGATAATAAAACATGGAGTGCCAGATGGGAAAAGAAGAAGAAGAAGAAAACAACAACAAAAAACACCCTCTGGATTTCTGTACACAGCTTGTTCTTATTAGGTGCCTAAACCACCAGCAAACTTGGTATTCCCACTACAACAGAAATGCCTCACGCAATGGGGGAAAACAAACCAAAGGAAGAAACAAGGAAACTAAGGGTGGATGTTAGTGTAAATCTGCATTTTGGGAGAAATTTAGTCATCATTAACTCCAGAGCCCAGCGTAGTTCCCATGGAGCCCTGAAGGGAGGGGACCTCATGCCACAAAGAGCTTTGTTCCGGACAAGTCTTAGCAGTGGGTGTAAAGGGCATTGGGAAAGAAATCAATGTCTGAGAAGTAATTCCTCAAGGTCTCATCGGGATTCAGCCAGCCTTTGCCAGTGATTAGTTTCAGATTTTCCCCTGCTACCCTGGGCTGGGACCCATAACAAGCTGAGAGCCTCTCTTCTAGAAATCTCTGAGCTTGTACGTCATAGAAGAGCAGGGAGCCCCACCCTGTGCGCACAGTGATGATGTGCTCATAGAAGCTCACTGACTGGATCCCACTGCCTTGTTTTCTAGAGCGCACAGACTTGACACTATTTTATGGCTGTCGTGGATCCAAGAAGAAGACATGAGCTTGGGAGCCCACTGCATACACTGACCATTCACTACCATAGGCCAGACACACATTCTCCCACCGATGTGGGATTTTGGTGGAGAGGAGCTTAGGCAATGTGTTTTCAGCCTTCCCGAGAGACACTGCTCCCAATACCTTGCTCTTGTTACTGAAGGCCAGAGCCTGGACCTTGCAGTTGTCAGAGTTTGTGTCCTCCTTGAGGATGTGCTTTACAGCATTGTGAGTGATGTGAGCATACACAGGGACCCGTGACACATTGTGCCTCACATCACTTTTGGTCAACACATCATCTGTCACCTCCTACAGTCCCGTAGAACCATCACACAGCCAGACACTGCATGTGATGGAAAAGATCCACTCCTTTGGGTCCATCACCTCCCCCCGCCCCCAGGATCCAGAGCAGGCAGTTGATAGATGGCAAGACTGCTGGGGTTGTCTCCTCCTGTGGCTAACAGTGTTCTAGAGGGATTCAGCTCAATAACACAGATGCCACAGCCCTGCTGGGTCACATCTCCAGGCTCTCAGTCCTTCAGAATGGGGATCTGGGTGATCTGGCTTGTCTGGACGTCCACTACAAATAGTGTGTTGCATTTTGTTCCACACACCACTTGCCTATGATTCAACCACTGCGAAGCAAACACTATTAAGGGCCCCGAGTTGAAACTCTCTCTCCTTCAGAAGACTGGGAAGTTGCTGTGCTGCATAACCATGCAACAATCGAGAACAGCTGGTTTCATCCTGTAGCCTGACTTCCAGGTTCTTCAGGTAATGCACTAAGGATCTCTTCACTGGGGGAAGCCTTCTCCTTTTGTGAGGTGAGTGATCCTAGCCAAGCTGTGGACCCTGGCCATCGCTCAGGAGCTTTCTGCTTCCTGGTAACTGCTTTCCAGGCCATAGTGGGCAGCACCGCTGTGGCCCGCAGCCACTTGGGGCAGGGGAAGGGGGGGTGGTCGGACAGCAGGTCATATACTGGGCCCGCCTGGCCCGGAAATGGCCTGGACCCGCGGCAGCAGTAGAAAAACGAGAAGCAGCCAGAGGAGAGGGCGGGAAGGGGACGAAAAAGGGGAAGGGGAGGCAGCAACCAGAAGCTTTCCTACTACTCCAGGCTTAGATTTTTGTGGATTCTTGGGGCAAAAGCCCAGATCTTTCAAAATAGTGTGTGTAAGGCAGGACTCTTTTCAGTGGGGGATCCCGGAATGGATTCTCGTGGGCACTGACCATTCATCACCCTGATCTGGGTGGCTGGGCTGGAAGATGAGGGAGCTAGACAGTGCAAACCCCGCTCTAGATCGCCTGCACTGGAGTGCCAAGAGACATGTACTATTGTGGAAGCTCCGGATAAGGTTACACGTGGGTGGAAGCAGCTTTAAGGGTCAATGTAGCCTGCCTAGAGCAGAGTGAGGAACCAAGTTGGACGAATCAAAAAACCTGGGCTCCATGCCTTTTACCAATAGGTGAGGAGAAGGGCCTGAAATGCACTTTCAAGGGCCGCTGAACATATGGTAAGGACATTTTTACCCTGAACCTCAGTTACATTCTACCGTTCCCAGAAGAACCCAAGTGGCTGTACTCAAAGACACTGTTGCACCAATGAGTAGAATTAGCCACTTGTTACGACCTTACGACCCTGTGTGTCAGGAGGAGGGGTGATAACAGTACCAAAGCACTGAGGCTTGTAGAAGCCTCTTGCCCCTTCTTGTTCTAGGATGTCTGAGGTCCAGGGAATTTACAACTCAAGGGAATATTAAAGTACCAAGAAGAATGATGAATTTTAAACCTAGTGAGACCTCATGGCTGGCTGGGTTTGATTTGAATGATGAATTTTAAACCTAGTGAGAGCTCATGGCTGGGTTTGATTGCATCTAAGAGATAATGATACTGTACCTATAGTACAAGAGTAATATAGACTAATTCATTCTTGCTATAATAACGATCGTACTTTTAGAAACTTATTTTAATGAAGTAAATATAAATGCATGCAGAAGTTAGCTGCAGGGATGTTCTTTATACCACTTCATTACAATGAAAAATTGATAAAGATTTAGAGATTTATCAATAGAGCACTGATTAAATACATTTCAGTTCATTTACATAAAGTCATATGTAAACTATAAGCTTAGTATTATGGAGTATCTAATTACTAGGAGGAAACTAATACATGTTTTAAGTGGATAGTAGGTTAAAATTTTTGAAAAATAAAATGGAACTGGGTAGGTATAGATGCATTAGAAAGAGACTGGAATATACGTAATCAAAGAGTAACATTAAGAATTTATAGGTGGTAGGATAATATGTTACTTAATTTTTTTCTGTTTTTATTGTGACTTCTCTGTAACGTACATGTTGCTTATAAAATACGGTGTTAAAACTTAAAAGTGAGAGTACAAGCATTAGAGGGAAATAATAAGTCACATTTTACTGAACTTGGCCATATTGAAGAAATGTGGATTTAAAACTGATTTCCTTCATCTTTGGCAAAGGCCCTATCTCTTACCCCTCCCTCAATGAGACAGCATGTTCATAAATTGGTAAAGGGTTCTTACCCTCTTCAAAAGCCATATTGTCTTTAAACTGCCCAAACTTCCCACCAGAACAGACTGAGGTGACTAAATGAAAACATTTTCATGAGGAAGTTTGCCTCTATTTCTCAAAGAGGAAGAAGATAAGGAAGAGCACCCCCCCATTCCAGTCTACCTTGCTCTTGAAGCTCCCAGAGCGTGTACAGTATTTTCGTCCTATGCACTTTGGCGCTGGGTTGTAGAGTATTTTATATTCTCTAATGGTTCTTTTCTTGAAGCTTGATTGAAGCCCCAATCCAGGATCACTTTTCTATATTATTTTTGTGTTTTTATTGTTTTCATCACCAAGACTGCCATTGGCATTATCACTGGTTAGCTTAGGGAGAATCCCCAGGAAAGGGAGAGTTTGCCTCTTTCTGAGATTTGGCTTTCGAGACTCCGTGATCATACTACACTGAATACGCCCAAGGGGAAACAGAAACTATTCCTTTCAATAACCACAATGCTACTAAAAGTAATAATGTATATGGGAACGATACCCATGTTTCCCTGAAAATAAGACCTTACTAGAAAATAAGTGCTGATCGTTACCATGGTGATGGCCAGTGTCATGCAAAGGATTACACTTCACTGAGCTCTTGCTTGGCTGCTACCCTGCCATGGCAGGCAGGGCCAGGTGACTGGGTCTGGCATTTTTGATCTCTAGTTTTGAAGGCTGATTATTTTCCCCTTAGGTCTTGTCTTATCTTCGGAGAAACAGGGTAGTTGTTTTATTTCTTTGCATAATTTTCACAAACATTATCTCATCAATGTTCACAGAAAAAATAAATAGGACTTCCCCCATTTTTACTGATGAGAGAAATGAAGTGCAGATAAATTAAGTGAGCATCTTGAGACTTACAAATAATTTATTGTGGGATAGAGGCTGGAATGGACGTTGCTTGATTCCATAACTGAAATTGCCTATCAGCACAAAGCCATACTTACAACTGAAGTTTCCTATGTGCTTGTTCATTTTGGGTTTTTCAAATCTTATAACAATATTCCTGTCCTCTAACATCTCTTCCTATTTGTAAACTGTAGCTCCTTTCTAACTTTGGCCAGGAAATTTAAATGTGGAACAAATTAGGATTTATCCTTCCCCATGAGTCTGATTGATGGAAAATGCACACAAGTGTTTCTCTTTCAGCATAAAGAAAAAATACTGCACTTATCCCCCAAACAACCCAATAACCCACCCAAAGTACATCATTTTAGCCAATATAGTTTGTGGAAAGAACTCTACACCTGCTGATCAGGAAGGCCCCTTTCTCTACTCACCACATGTTCCATCCACCAGGACCTAGGAAGAAGTGGATTTTTGGGAGAGGCTGTGACACCAGGAAAGGGTTATAACACGCCGGTGACGTGATGAGCGGGCAAACCCCGGGAGACCCTTGCCAGGTGTGACTGAATACGTGAAGAAAGTCGGGAGCAAGTGAGTAGCCTGTTTAACGTACAGGAACCATCCCCAGTCTTAAGCCATTGCCAAGCACTGCCAAAGCCTAGGGAAATCAGTGCTAACTTCTGAAGAAGAGGAAGTAAGTGCCCAATCCAATCTGTTTTGGTTTCAGAAAAACCCAAAAGTAATGCAGAAATGAATAGATGTTATCTATGGGCAACTCATTGAAGTGTCAAACCCAAATTGTTATAATAGCCTAGGAGTCTGTATTACAGGGGTTCCCTCTTCTCTCTTTGACCTCATTTCCTTTTATTGCTCCCCTTTCTTTCTGTCGCAGTCACACTGCTGTACAGGCTGCTTTCCAAGTATGCCTGACGTTCTCCTGTCTCAGGGCCTTTGCACTTGCTGTTACCTCTCATCACCCAGATATCTACATGGTTCAAGCCCTCGGCTACATCAGAGCTTCATGCCAGTTTAATATCCTTAGTGAGAACTCCCTTTTTCCTGTTTACTCCATTAAAATTGCACCCATATAGCACCTCCCTTGTTGTATTTTTCTCCATAGCCTTTATGAAATACTATGAATTCTCCTCATTTTGATCATTGTCTGATCTTCTCACTAATATGTACACCTCATGGGTACATATTTTGGTCACTGCTGTGTTCACATGGTGTCAGTAGGCACAGGGTATTCCCTCAATGTATACAGGTGAATGAGTGAACGAATAAACTCTTGATAGGATATGTGGGCAAACACAAGGCCAGAGAAATACAGTGACTTTTCAGAGGTCAGTTTGAAAATTCCCTAGCAAGAGGACTCGCTCTCCTAGAACCTATGTGCCTTGATTCCTGCTTTGCTTCCCCTCCCATTACCACTGCAGGATGCATTTTCAAATAGGTGCTGTTAAGTGGATGTGTGTGTAAAGATTATAGAGGAGCATTTTGCTTTAACAAATTAGCGTAGTTAAAGACAAAGGAAGAGGACAAAGTCAGCTCCCCAGAGAGACAAGGAGGAATCCCCTGCTGGTTGGAATATTAGAATTTGAGTTTCCCATTTTATTCCAATAGAAGAACTACCTTTGAGTTGGGAACAATACATCTGCATGACAATGAAGCATAACAACTTTCTCATCTAAAGGAGAACTTTAATATAGCTGTTTTATGAACAAAGTACAAACTCACAAAGGAGGACAGCGATTCTCTCTACCCTATGGATTTTTGCTCAACTTCACATTCGTCCTTTATTCCTATACCCTGTGCAACATTAAGGAATCATCAGATTGTAGGAGCCATGCCCAGTGACCTGGATGGCCATGGAGTCTGCAGGCCCTGTGCAGGTGATAATGAGGTGCCCTTCAGGAAGCTAAGAGCAAAAGGCGTGAGCTGCTTTCCTAGCACTGTCTTCCAATATATATACATGTAATGAATTAGGACAGAAGTTAGAAAAGCCCTCATAAGGAAATGGAAAATTTCTCCAGCTGGAATGTGATTTGATGATTTGACTGAGATACATTTTTGTTTGTGGCTTCCAGGATTTTCGTTTGAGAGTCAGTTCTGCGTTGTGAGTTCTCTCACAGAACCCAGTAAAGTCAGCCTTGCATTTGTGTATGTAAAACACTCCAATAGCTTCCCATCAAAGCCTCTCTTCAACCTTCTTAGGGTTTAGATCTAAATTTTCTCTGAAAAGGCTCATGGGTCGGGGGAGGGGGTGGGCTTTCCAAAGGTGATTGGATCATGAGGACTAACCATATTCGTAGATAGATCCGTTGATGAGATCATACTTTGGTAGCATTATTGGGAGGTAATGGACACTTAGGAGTTGGGCCCATTTGGAAACAGGTCATGGGGGCATTGACCTTGAGGACTATATCTTGTTTCTGGCCCTATTACTCTTGAGTTCTCTCCCTACCCCTTGCTTCCTTGCCACCAGGAAGCAAGCAGCTTTGCTTATTACCATGACATTCTACCTCACTATAGGCCCACAGCAATGGGGCCAGCCAGCCATGGACTGCAGCCTCTAAAACTGTGAGCTAAAATAAATCTTTCCTCCCTTCAAGTTGTTTATGTCAGGTACTTTGTCACAGTGATGGAAATCTGACTGTCACAGACCTCATCTCCTTTTATCCTCGCTCTTGTTCTCTCTGGTCTCAGTATAATGAGTTTCCTTAGCTCCTTTGGTAATCTGTAGTCTCCCTCACTTCCACACTTTCCCTGGGATGTTTCCTCTGTGTGGACATCTTACGCTGTTAACTGACTAAGTCATGCCCAGTTTTTAGATCCTAGGCAATTATTGCACCCATCATGGAGAATTTCCTCCTCTGGCTGTCCAGTCATGTATTTAAGAGCTGTTGAAAGGGCCTTCATAGACACTCGCTTCACTGTGCTGGGTCTTTATCATTTTGCTGCTTCAGGTCAGGGCTGTGGGGAAACCAGCTCTTTAGTACTTCCATCATCTGAACGTTTGTGTCTCCCGTAAATTCCTATATTGAAATCCTAACTCCTCATAAAGCTAGGAGGAGGTAGGGCTTTTGGAAAGTGGTTAGATTAAGGACAGAGACCTCGTGATTGGGATTAGTAACTTTATAGAAGAGATCCAGAGAGTCAGCTCTTCCCTTCTATCATGTGAAGACACAGCCAGAAGGTACCATTTATGTTTTACTCAGCTTTCTGTGGCTGTGGAAAAACACTCAAGATAAACAATTTGAAAGGATGAAGGATTCCTTTTGGCTCATGGTTTCACAAGTTGCAGTCCATGGTCTTGTGGCTCAGTTTCGTGGGCCTATAGCAGCACAGTACCTCATGGCAGGAACGTGTACCAAGGAAGGCTGCTCCCATCACGGCAGTCAGGAAGCAAAGAGAGAGACGAGGGGCCAGAGTCCCAGTACCCTTTTCATGGGCACGCTCCCAGTGACCCAACTTCCTTCCGCTTTGCTACCAGGTTTTGGTCTGTTGGAGTCTCCTTCTAGAGGTGATTTCCAGGCTCTTTCCGTCCTGAGCAAAGAATTGGTCAAGACAAATGCAAATGGCAATAAGGTTTTACATCTATTCATCTATTAAAGACAGAAAAAAGAAACAGGCTTTGCAGAGTGAGTTTGGACCAAGTAAAAGTAGGAAAATAAGTATACTCTACATGAGAGAGAAGGCTACAATGAAGGGATATAGTAGCAATTTCTGTAACACCCACTCCTCAGGCTGATGTCAGGTTAGGCCTCCCTATCAAAAACCTGCTCAAGTTCTGGCAAGAAGTCCATGTGCAGGGCTTTGCGAACTTCTCTGTGCATGTGTCCTGGGATTTTGTCACTCCTACTTCCCTAGACAGTTCTGCCATACCCTAATCTCTTGCCTCAGCTCAACTGGACATCCTAAAGTCTCCAACACCTCCCAGTGGGACCATCTGCTGGGGACCAAGGTTTCAACCCAATCTGTGAACCATCCCCAGACCCTAAATCTCTCAAAGCCTTCAGCTTCAGCTTCCTAGTCTCTAGAGCTATGCGAAATAATTTTTTTTATTGTTTATACCCAGTTTATGATATCCATGGTATTTATATTGTAGCAGCCTGAATAAAATATATATGCCACCTATTTCTTTTGGGACCCAAACTGATAATATTTATGAATTTTATTGTAGTTCCTTTATTTCTTATCTTGTTCACGTTTCTTCTCTTCCCTTTTCCTTGTAGATAGTCAGTTTCATGGGGAAAGGCAGCATATGAATTACTTTAGGTGATACAACACTACATGACACTTTGTACATGTTAGATTAATATTTTTAAATCAATTTTGCTTCAAATTGAATAGATTTACTTACATGTTTATGTTTGCTTCCGAATAAAAAAAGCTTGGAGTTTGAGTTTCAGTTTTATTGCACTCTTCAAGGAAGTAAGACTGTGATAAAATTATCTTGTAAAAAAGATCAAGAAATAAAGTGAAAGCCATAAAAAGTGTAGAGATGAGGTAAGAGCTTTTTAAAGGGCAGTTTGGGTGGAAATAGGAGAAAAGGCTCAGAAGACAGGACCCTAAAAACAGTGATGAGGATCATTCACAGCTGCTGTATCTAAGAGGGAGTTGAGCAAATGAGGTTTTTCTTGACTTAGCTCTACCTCTCAGTGCCATTTATGAAAGAATTTATTGTCAAACATTTCACCTCTGTCCACATTTTCCCCCAATAAAATATCTTTAGGAGAGTCAAAATAATTTCTTATAGTGGTCTCTGTGGTTTACTAATATAAAGTATGCTTCATTCAGAATTTGGAAAAAGAAATTCTTCTATCAGATCTTTTGTGTATTAGCTTTTCCACAAAATTCACATGCAATAGAATGTATTAGTCAAGAAACACATAAACACATTTCTTTAACAAGGGCTATAAGCAGGTAATAACCTAATGCCATTGTTTAAACTATTTTTGGTTAAGGAATGGAATCACATACTTGAGATAAAAGGAAAGGAGGATATTACTATAAAGCACAATGAAAATTATGCAGCTTGGTAAATGATTGTGCATTCAGTTGTTCTTTTATTCCTTACATATTAAATGAGCATGTATTTATTTGTTTATTGCTTTCCAGATGAAAGACCAGGCTTTGTGAATTCAGTGATACTTCCTGCACCATAGACTCTGGAATCTAAACCAGTTTCTCCCATGTGGTTCATGAATTTCTGCATAAAAGCTTTGAAAACATTTCCCAAAAGTCCCCAGGAGCTTTCATAACCACTAATTGGCCTCTACTTTTTGGAAGTTTGGTGATCTAGAAAGTTGGAATGGAAACTGCCGTCCTGCTATAAAACACCAAGGATCCTGGGTAAAATAGAACACTTTAAAAATACTGTTGACCTTGCAAGACCTTGAAGAAAATCCACATGTTGCAAGAACAAAGAGGAAGGCAAAATCCAGAGCATGAAACCTACAAATTCAGCCACAAACAGTAGCTGCCTTCAGGGATACCAGGACCCTCCCCTGTGGGTTCTAACTCCCAAGCAAGGACCAGACCACTCAGATACCTTGTGGACATTTCGAAAAGGCACTCCACCCCAGTCCTTACCGGTTAAAAGGGGACTCTCAAGAAAGGGGGCCCTCCATGCTTACTTGCCAGGGACTGTCCTCTCTGTGCTTGGAGTCTTTTCATGACTATTAATAGCACTTGGTTCCCCTTCAGAAATATGTAGATTAGAACGACAAATTACATTTCCCTCTGTTCAAAGGCTACTTAGTAAAAGGATGGGCAAGGAAACAAAAATAGCTTCCAGCAGCCACAGAGTCAAGGCATGCCATTTCCACTTTGTGTTGCACAGGGATAAAAAAGATTTTAAGTTAATAAAAGCATGCCCTCTAAAAGTTAATAAAGATGAGCCCTTCTTCCACATGGGGTCAAAACACTGTATGAGTATCTGTCTGTATATATTGTATTTAAAAGCTGGAAAACTGAAGAGAGAAAAATCACTCATACTTTCTCAATCCAAATAAAACACCATTATCTTTTCTTTATTCCTTTTTCAGATTAGTTCAATTTTCATCAGTTTTACATTAGATCATATCTTATAAATAATTTTACGTGCTGACATTTTACTAACCCCAGTGAAGGGTTCTATCTGGAATGCTGTAAACCTTGCAAACAATATTTACAATCTCTATTTGTATTCTATTTATTGGCTGCAATTTAAGCAAAACCCAGCATTGGGCATTTAAGTTGTCACCAGTATTTGCTATTAGAGCAAATATCATGATGGAAATATTTGAGCATAAATCTTTCTTGACATTTGGTTGAGGTTCTCTAGAGTGAAATTACTGGGTCAAAGTATAAGGCCTGTGATAAAATGTCTTGACACAGGTTGTTGCCAGTTGGTTTCCAAAATAGTGTATCAATTTTCATTCTACTTTGACGGAATTGAGCAGTCGTTTATTAAACCGTGTTCCTGGACAGGTTATGAATATCTAGAGCTCTTTGGAATCACCCACTCTTTCCTCAGCATGGAGGGCCCTGCTCAGGGATTTTCCATAAATCACCAGTAGGTTGAGGGCCATGAATCTGAATCCAGGAAAGGAGGAAAGAAAGGAACAGAATGAGCCACAGCCCTGTCACTGTGAATCTTGGCAATAGAAATCTCATAACTCAGACAGCCAGGATATAAAAAGGATATTAAAGCTGTAAATAATTTCCAATTAGCATTATTATCTATGTGCTAGGCTGCTCAGCTGTGAGATTTCCGTGGGTAACAGAGAAATCTGGATGTCCCTCACCTTTTTGAAGAAATACCTTCAGGCCATCTCTGGTAGAAAAGATAAAATATCCAGAGCTCAGCCCAAAGATAATCCTTAGATTTTAAAGAACCATTTCACAAGTACAAAGCACCCATCTTTCTTGAGAGACTCGTACAGCTTAATCATATTTCTGAAGAAAGATTTTCCATTATACAAATGGAAAGACCACGGGCCATAAGGAATAGTAGTTTGAGGTTTAAATTCTGTATTTCTCTCAAACATTACCACCTGAAGTTGTCTGAAGACAGAGGGTACTGATGACAATAATGATTTATTGAACATGAATTTAGTATATACCCACAATGAATCCGACATTGTCCATAACTATGGAGACACAGTGGACCCTTGACTCATGAGCTCAATCATTTCTCAGTGCCAATCATAACTCAAGTTGGCTGTCAGTCAATACAACTGAGATCTAGATATTTACCTGGATACACAGGATAGATAACAAGAGGCAGATGAATCTTCCATCGACTTAATTAACCCAAGTTTTTCGTACGTCAGGCCAGTTGTAACTTGAGGGTCCACTTTATATTTGTTAATAAAACAGAGAAACATTGTTCCCATGAAGCTAGCATAAGTTCTATTGGTGTGATACAGACAATAAGCATAGCAAATAAGTAGACTGTAGGTTAAAAGGTGATGTGATGATTAATTTGATGTGTCAACATGCTTGTGCACAGGTATTTGATCAATCATTTTTCTATATATTTCTATAAGGGTGATTTTGGATGAGATTCACATGTAGATTTATGGAACAGAGTAAGCAGATCACCCTCTATAATGCCAGTTGGCTTCATCCAGTAAATTGAGTTCTTGACAGAATAAAGACTGACCTCCCTCCAGCAATGCCTTCAACATTATTTGGGTCTCAAGCATACAAGCCTGGCCTGCAGGTTTTGGACATGCCAGACTCCATAAATGTGCAAACCAATTCCTTAAAATAATACCTCTCCTCTCTCTCTAACTCAATATGTCTCTCTCTCTCTCTCTCTCTCTCATATATATATATGTATTTTTTTTCAGATAGATATCTCTTTTTGGTTCTGTTTCTCTGAAGAACTCTGAATACAGGAAATTAAGCATTTTGACAAAAGCCAGGAGTGGGAGTGGTTGAGAGTCCATTCATTGGCTTTCCATGGAAGTTTTTTCATCTCTTTTCCTTACATTCTGATTTAGAAAATTTGGGATTAAGCTTGAGAATCTGTGAGGTTTTTGTATTACCGACAGTACAGGTGAATTTGTTATGTAGACACTGTTTGGCTCATGCTTTCACGACTGGCTTGACATACGAACATCTTGGGTTAATTAGGTTAATGGAAGATTCATCTGCCTCTTGTTATCTATAGTGTGTACCCAGGTAAACATCTAAATCTCAGCTGTACTGTCTTACAATGCACTTGAGTTACAACCAGCCCTCAGGAACAGATTGAGTTCGTAAGTCAAGAGTCCACTGCAGTGTGGAGATTAATCTACACTACTTATACTAGGTGAAGATGATGATTATTGCCTCTTTGGAGGCAGAAAAATGTCATTTTTTTTCTTTCATAATCAGTGTTTATGACATTTTTGTGCTAATGGCTACACTAGAAGTAGTAGATTGCAGTTCTCAAACTTTAATGATTGTGAGACTCAGCAATGGTGGTGGTGATTAACATACAGATTCCCAGGCACCAGTGCCAGATTGCTGGCACCATATCTGGGTTTGTGCCGAGTATCCTGAGTAACTGGCTTTCAGATGATTTAAGAAACACACTTGAGAAACATTATTTTAGTTTAGTTGTCTCAGCTGAAGCTCACAAAGGAAAAGCAGCGTACTTAAGATAATGAATTGGACACGGAGTGTAATTCAAGTTTTATTTTCTTCCTTTTCAGTGGAGGTCTTATACACTATATCAGTCATTTCCCTGGATAAGCCACACCAATATTATTTGCAAATTTTGAGAAGAACAAATCTGTGACCCAGTCTCACACCTACTGAATCACAAATTCTGGCCCCCTAAATCTGGCTTTCGGATTCTCCAGGGGATTCTGATGTCACTCACAATCTCTTAACTATCCAGGCCTATTTGATTTCTGAATTGTGCCAGTTAATAGGATGGCGAAAATGTTAGCTAAACTTCCTGAGCATTTGTGGCGTAAGGGTCTGGGCCAGGTGCTCAAGCGCCTTCACATTTAATTCTTACAAGTATGCGTGTTATATTTGAGGAAACTGAGGCTGAGAGCTTAAAACTACTTGTTGCATGTTTAAGAGGGTGAAATGACAAAGCCAAAAATTAGAACACAGGTGAATTTGATCATTGAGCCTGCACTATTGGTAATCATCTGGTAATCATCGCATATCAAGACTCATTTATTTGATAGTTGTCCAGTAAATGGGTGAAGTACCTGAATCCAGAAGAGCAGAAAGGAAGGCCCCAAACCAGCAATGTAGAAATTCGCTATGGTACATCTCTGGCTCCTCCCCCAGCTCTAGACTCTATTTCCAAGGTGTTTGGTCTCTACATTTTTTTAGAGCACTGATACTTCACCATGGTCTCCATCTCCTCCCTTTCTAGTCTTGTTTTTCGTAAGAACCCAAGGACTTTTCATCCACATAGTCTCATTTCCATTCTCCATGTCAACATGGAGTAGTGATTTCTCTTCATTCCTCGCCTGCTGTTTCATCAGTACCATGTGTGTTCCTATTATCCTGGCATAACCTTTTTCTCTGCAAGGAAGTGTAAGGCTGGGGGTTGTGCCTTCCAGGACTGCCCAGTTTGCATCAGGCAGTCTGAGTTATAAAACTGATTTACCATGCAGGACTTCATTAAATGGGTAGAAAAATGACAACCTGACAAGGAATTCATGAGTCACTGGTAGTTGGTTTTCTGGAAACTTTTCTTTTTCTATAACAGCTTTCTCAAGAGACAGAATAATCACATATACATAGTACTTCAAATGACTCTCGAAGAGCATTGTCCTTTGATTGGTTGACTTTTCTTTAAATCAGTTTAAGTCTTTTAATTGCTTTGGGATATCCAAACAGCCATACCATTTGATGCCCTTGGGTCAGGATATATAAAAGACGCTCATTAGAAATATGTATGAATTAGTGAAGGCAGTGCTTCTCAAGATGTAATATACCACTGTATAGATAAATTGAGATAATTCATGAACACTTTCTAACATTTGTTACTTATTTTACTGAGAATTAGAAAAAAGAAATTAACACGTTTGTATATCTGAGCATATAATTAAAAGGGAGATATTTTATAAAAATGGTTTAACAATAATGGCAAATTACTAGTGTTTTACAGATATAACTATGGCCTCAGAAACAGTAGATGAGTTCATAGTGATTGCAAATTAAAATTGATAAATTACGTTGGGAATGGGAAATGTCTCGAGAATAGAAGAGGGACCTCTGAAATGAGGAACTGTGTTGGCCGCATTTATGAAACCCGGATTATTTCTTGCTTTGCCTGTGAATTTATGCCTTCTGCTCTCTCCCTTGACATCGTATCACCATCTCGTCAGATTAAAGAGGTTAGGAGAGTTTCATAGTTGCCATTTATTCAGAGCAATCCCATCCTAATTGCTTAGGACCGAAGAAATCATACAGTCACTGTCGCTGTCTGGTGGGTGAGACTGGTTGAGTGGGAAGGGATTGTAGAAGGTCAGTGTATTTGATTAGTAAGAGTCATACGACAGTCAGTGTGGTCTGATAACATTTTGGGACGGCCTCCTAGTTTTCGGAGAGATCCAGAAAGACTACAGAAGTCGTTTTGTTGGACTCTGTCTCTCCTTTGGAGATGAGCCCCGCTACCTAACACCAGTCTACTTGTATGGCACCGTGGGTAGGTTGTAGAGACTGTTTGCCTTGTTCAGTGAAGCTTTGCCATGAGATAATGTTCTTATATCAACATTACTTTTGGCAACCCTAACTAAAATTAATGAGGTGAATAATAAATGATATCCGTTTTCTGTGAGGAGAGTAGTAGAACAAAATCCTGATTCTAAACTTATGATCGATGGGGAAACAAATCAGAGAACCACAAAATCTGCCTCTTTGGGGTGGAATTTGAGGAGAAATTCTTAAACTTGAGCCCCTGTCAACTCACAATCCATTTTGGGGTTGTGTACTGAAAGCCAGCTTGATCTCTTGGGTCCCTGGTTTTCTTACTTTAATACTCTGAAGGATGGCTCACAGGGTTTGTTAAAAGGCAGATTCCAGGGCCTT